TGCAGCCCTCTTCGTCAGACAGAACCATGAACAACGGCATTAACAAATTTATCCTCTGCTATTTGATTACACTTTTTAGGTGTTTCAATTTTATGGTTGTGTTTCACTATTAGCTCTAGTTAGAGAGATGAAGCTCTCAGAAATAAAAGAACATAATTAGATATATATGTGATAAAAATTTCAGTCCTCTACGTTCGACAAAAGTATAAAAAAATATGAATAACAAATTATCCTCAGTTATTACCGAACAGCCTTTATGTGACAATGAAAATAGATGTTTGCAAACTCTACAAAACGGAGTTTCTTGTTTTGGTGGGATTTTTTTTTTCTTGTTTATAATTAATCATTTTGTATTCTTTATTTTGAATGTCTCACCGTTGCTATGTGCAGCCCCTCTTGATAGAGTGTGTAGTTGAAAAGAATTCAAAAAGAAAAACGAAAAAAAAACCAGGCGAAAGCAAACAAAAACGAAGCACAAAATGTTGCCATCATAGAAAAACAAACCAACGAGTCATTCAGCAAAAATCACACCCGTTTAACATACACAGCAGTCATCGAACTCGGAGTCAAGCATCAGTGAAATTAACTAGGTATAGTTGGTTTTGATTACTTGATTTTGATGAGTAACTTATTGGAAGAATATCTGAGCCTAGAAAAAAAATTTCCAAATGTCATTAAAATAACTGACATATGATTGAAGTGCTGATTAAACATGATTTCAATACACACAAAACTAATAACCGTGACTGATTTTCGCTCTCCCGATGGATTGATAGCAATTCGTCAATCAATAATTTAGCAAATTACTTTATTGTTAAGATAGGTATGAGTGTAAGTATAGAGGATCCATCCTCTTTCCAGTTAAACCCTAACTCACCTCCATACTTCAAAACTGGTGAACAAAAATCTCAGACATAGAATAGTTTATACTATACTATTGCACAAGCTTCAGCGCACTAGACGTTGTGCAACTACATCTCAAGACTGAGTCAGAGCTCTTTCAACGATTACGTACTCTCTGATTGGGATCAAATAAAATATCGGGGTTTTATACAAAGGTTGCGGTCGGAAAACGATGAACACATAACAGCTACTAAGCTTTTGTTTGGCATGGTTTATGCCAAAGGGTGTTAGTTCATCATTAGGTGTGATGGAAAAATAACTGATCAACATAGAGCTTTATAAATGTAAGTCAATAGGGCGCTTTATAATTAAGTGCTATAACCCAAAATGATGACAAATCACTGTAAGCAGCCAGTAACGAATCAAAACGATTTCTTTCAGTTTCATAAGACATTAGTTGTCAGAAACTTTTGAATAAAACTCCATCGTACCTTGTAGCTAGCAGAGGTTGAAACAGGTCCACTTTTTGAAGGCCTGGCCTGTCTGAGACAGGCTTACATTAATCCTAGCCTGCCTGCCTGGGTGTGGGTCTGGATGAAAAGACCTATACCCACACCCACACCCTACTAGATTTTGGAGGTCTTTACTCTTCATATTTTCGAATAAGAAAATTGTACGATAGCACGGTGTGTGTTCTTATGAATTTGTAGAGAAGAAAATTCTCTTTCAAGTAAAAACAGATATTGATAAGTAATGGATAGCTTCCGAGATATCCATGAAATACTATAACCTCATTCTTTTTGGGCCACCCGATAAGTTTTAATTCAATACTGTGAACACAAAGAACCCAGTACAGACTCATGAGAACTTTTTCTTATTTTTTTGTCCAATAAATATTGACAGTAATGTACCCGGAGAAAGAGAATAATTCGATTTTCGCTGCTACAATAAGCCTGATAGCTTCCCGCTGATTCACTGTCTGTTCTTTAAAAAGGTATCAGTTTCACTCAAGCACTACGAGTAATAAAAATGAGTAAATGTTTTCAGTGCTGTTTTATCATGATGAAAAGAGAAGTTTTTCATTTATAACAAATATTGCACAACTAAAAGTAAAACTCTGGTAATGCTGTAAATATATAAGGACAAAACCTATTTCGGCTTGCTTTCGTTTTTTAGATTTTCTTTTTTCAAAAGTATTGATCAACGCAGCGGACTCCAATCACTTGTTACTCATCTCGAAGAGAATTACATTTCACGGAGCTCAAGGTATCTAAAATTGAATGTTTGAATACATATTCTTCGTAGGAAGAATCTAGTCAGCCATTCAAATTATGTGCCTACGGAAGTTATATCCATGAATGAAACGCAGTAAAGGATGCTTTAAAAGTCCCGTAAGAAAGTTTATGCGATTTTTTCCTACCAAGTACCCGTCATTTACACATTTGTTACAATACGATAAAAGAGTATTCTTCCCAGTTGTATTCTGTTTATGTTGAGATAACTGTGCATGTCTACTAAGGTTGAATAAAGAATAGTTTTGTTATTGCTCGCCTTTCGATCATCGATGATAGTGGAACGACAAATGCGGATTCCCAGAGTAGTGTCACAGATCTGAAAAATTAGAGATCTCTAAGATCTCTAAAAAGATATCTAACATATCGAAAAAATTACAATACACTATAGAAGTACTATATAAAAATGATATCCTTCCCACTAACAACAACACTCCATAGAGATACCATATCTCTAATCAGATCTCTAATAGGCATGCCGGATCTTTAGGATGCCCAGAGCACTGTACTATATCCTGCAACGGATGCCACACGTCCCCTGTTGAAACTCCTTTCCGCCCACCCACATCTAGTGCTGTGATGTGTGGGTGTAGAATTCTATTTATATCGAGAATTTGTAAGTCGTTTTGAAGCAATAACATCTACAATTCACAAAGGAAACTTTCTACTTAGAGATGCGGCATCTCTAATCAGATCTCTACTAGAGATGCGGCACCTCTAATCAGATCTCTACTAGAGACGCCGCATCTCTAAGAATCAGATCTCTAGCACTCTCCCAAGGCTCAAAATTGGAAAAATATTTTTCATTTAGAGATCTGATTCCTAGAGATGCGGCATCTCTAGTAGAGATCTGATTAGAGATGCGGTGTCTCTGCAAGAGATGCCGCATCTCTGCTTAGAGATGCATCTCTAGCACCCTCCTCGGGCGGAAAATTCGAAAAGTAATTTTTGTCTAGAGATGGATATCCTAGAGATCTGATCAGAGATACCGCATCTCTAATCAGATCTCTAATAGAGATACCGCATCTCTAATCAGATCTCTAATAGAGATGCCGCATCTTTAGGAATCAGATCTCTAAGAGAAAAAAATATTTGGAATTTTGACCCTGGGGAGGATGCTAGAGATGCATCTCTAAGCAGAGATGCGGCATCTCTTGCAGAGACACCGCATCTCTAATCAGATCTCTACTAGAGATTCCGCATCTCTAGGAATCAGATCTCTAAATGAAAAATATTTTTCCAATTTTGAGCCTTGGGAGAGTGCTAGAGATCTGATTCTTAGAGATGTGGCGTCTCTAGTAGAGATCTGAGTAGAGATGCATCTCTAGCATCCTCCCCAGGGTCAAAATTCCAAATATTTTTTTCTCTTAGAGATCTGATTCCTAGAAATACGGCATCTCTATCAGAGATCTGATTAGAGATGCGGTATCTCTATGGAGGATTGTTGTTAGTGAGAAGGGTAGGATTTCTGTGTAGATCTTCTATAGCATATGGTAATTTTTTCTATGTATTGGAGATCTCTTTAGAGATCTAAGAGATCTCCAAGTTTTTAGATCTGTGACACTGCTGGATTCCCAATATCAAATTCAAACATCCCCTAATGAATCCCAAGACACCAGATTTGCTGCATCCTTAGTCTCATTCCCTGAAACGTCAGAAAAGCATCTTTTAGCGTGTAAGTACCTTATAAGTAACTTTTTATACGAAACAAGGTGTCTTCAGGGTGAAGGTGAGAGATCACAGAAAGACTTATCTATGGAATAGAAGCTTCATCAATGGCAAATAAGGGTACTTCAGAATAAATTTCGCTGCTTTCGGATAAGGTTAAACTATGGCCCTATGTGTACGGAGTACTCCATGCTTATCGAAAAACTATTTTCATTTTCGGAGGAGAGTGTCCGTGTGAGGAACAGATATCAGAGGGTGTTCAAATGGCCTTTTTGCATACGAAATTCAGTATTATAGCATGATAACGATTTATGGAACCTAACACATCACAAAAAAGTTCAGGGTGAGACCAATTCGCACTGACCAGAAAGAAGGATTAAAAAGCGCTATTTGGAGACCCCGTTAAGATTCGCCAGTGTATCTAGACTTTATCCAATTAAACCGATGAATCCATTCAACAAGTACCACTTACAAAAAAGACTTCTTTGTGGCAAATAAAACATAATGAAGAGTGTGGGTGTGGGTGTTCGTATTCTAATCTCTCCCACCCATACCTACACCCTCTCTATCTTATTCTAATTAGTAGTTATGTGTAAGTGTTAGGATAAATAACGTGAACATTACCAGTGAGACTTTGATCAAGTGAACGTTCGCCAGTGTAACTTGTAGATTAATTGAAGATAGTAAAATATATTCTAAAAATCGCTTTCCTTACAAGAATTTAACTTTTATATTCAGCCGCATGACAAATGCTTTCGCGGCTCGAGGGTGTGGGTGTGAGTGACGAAGGAAGTCACTGAAATTTACAATCATCGTATTCTCTATAGCCACAACTATAATCATACTCTTTTCTTTTCTCACTTTCGCATGCATAAGGTTTTGTAGTTTTTCATTACTTATCGATGAAATTTTCCAAACCGTAGATTTCTATGTTCGCCATTCCTGTATATAGATATAGTTGGCATTAGATTTTCAATAACTGAGAGAGTGTAAATAAGGCCTATCATATACTTTATTTTTTCTAATTATTAACTACTTCAGTCAAAGCTTTCTATTTCTTTTGTTTTTGTTTCATCTAGATTTGTCTTGCTAAAATAATAGAGAACCTATTTTACTTCTCTATCTCTACTGATCTCTATAGTTGACGTGATGGATGACGAACAAGATAAAAAGAATTTAAAAAAATGTTTCAAGGATATGATTGAAGCTATTCATGAAACTATTGAACAACTACGGCCCACTGAACAACAACCGCAAGCATCGACAATTGACATTCATTCGTTTACATTAGATAAATCTGAGGATACCGCTATCGATCTACTTAAAGTGAAACTTATGGAAACGCTTAATAATTATGTAAGACGTCTAAGTGGAATTTGTAGGAATTATCTATTTAAATTCCTTCAGCAATATGACTATGATGAAAATATGCGAAATTTTACAAGTTCATTCAATATGGATACTCTTGACCCGTTTGCACGTGACCTAGAAGCTGCATTAGCTTCAATCGATGCATTTGCAGCAGCGTATAAGGGAAGTAAAGACCCTGTATTAGAATTCTTAAACAAGTATCCAACACTCAAAGATAAACCTGGACTATATGGAACCACTCTATTGTATTCAGCAGCCAGAAATAATCATGAAGTACTAGTGAGATATCTTATTGAATCAGCTCAGTGTGCTATAAATGCTCAAAATCAGCAACAACTTGAAGATGTATTACAAACACATGTAGAAAGTACTTATAAACAGATAAATCCATCATCCGGTTCAACAGCACTACATGGTGCTTGTTTCAATGGACATTTGAAAATTGTTCAATATTTAATGAAACGTGGTGCTGATTATTTCATTCGAAATCAAATACAAGAAACACCCATAATGAATGGACAAAGACACGGGAATATTCGTGAATTCTTTGAAAAATTTCTTATTCTTGGTTATTCTACCACAGCAAAAACATTACCCGAAAAACCGATTTCAGAAAGACCAGAAAACAATACATTTGACTGTATTTGGGAACATAAATCAGTATCAAATCCTCAATGGTCCCAATTTTCAGATGATGAATCAAAAGAATTAAGTAAAGCATTAATCATATCACCTGATGAAGAAATGCAACGTACAATCTATCTGGGTGTACCACCAAATACTTTTAGCGTTTCAATCGTTGAATTTGTACGATCTGGTATAAATCGTGATCCAAATAATCAACGTGCATGGGTACGGTGTCGTGGTTCATCAATTTTCAATTATGACTGTTATGCACGATGGCAAATAATGCTTTTAAAACATAAAGGAATCCAAACTGCAAGTCCAGCGTCTTGGAATATAACTGATATACCAGCGGTTTATGATAGCAAATTTCAAGTACAATTGAACTGTTGGTATAACTGTACGAATAAGATCAATGCACGTCTTGACGATGCTATAAATTATCGACGAAAACAAATGAATATGGAGCTGCCGTTTTTGAAAGATGATTTCGACTTTGATCTTCAAGAGTTTACGTTTCAAAATAGTGACAAAACAGTATCAGGTTGCATACGATGGATTCCGAAATTAATTGCAAATGATGAACGGTATCGAAATAAAATTCATGAAATAGATAACTATCAAAATTTGTCACATGTTCAACCGATACCTTTGACGACAAAACGACTTCGGGAAGTTTCAAAAATGAGTCCTACCAAACCAAGTACGAAATTAGACGATGATTTTAAAGAAGAAGACGAAAACGATGAAGATCTCACACTACGAACTTTTCTGAACGGAAACGTCGATGAAGATAGCTTAGATGAAACAAATAAGGTAAAAACAAAAAGCTGCACTCACGTTCGAATAGTTTTACTCCATTTTAAGTTGCTGTTAGATTATTCATATAAATAAAAAACTTAAACAGTTATACTGTCGAGTAAAAAGGTAACAATGAGACAATTAATAATGAGCAGCTCATTTTTGTTAATCTTTCAGCAAATCATATATATCTTTTTCTGAAATGAAGAAAACTCCATTCGGGACGTACATTATTTTATGAACGCTCAAGTCAAAATAATTGTCATACCTAACTAGACCTCTTCTCTAATGGATATATTACGCTTCATTTCCTGAACATAGTTGCTTCTCTACTCAAGAGTAATGCTTCAGATGCTGGGATCTTTTCGCTACTAATATACGCACAGAAAACGATCTGTATCCAAATACCATAAGCTTTTTAGTTGATAACCAGTGATAATCATTCGCACCGGAAAAATATTCTAGTCAGCTAGGATAACTAAAAGTCCATCAAATCGAATACCATAAAACTTTCTTGAACATCTATTATGAGACTCTAACAATTTTTTTTCTTTCCGGAGCTCAACCTTTTACCTAGGTAGATACATATGTGATGGATACTGTCCCACCATAGTAGCTCTTCAACTTTCATAAATCTCTGTGAAAGAGCCAGACAAATCTTAGACGCAGAAACCGGCATAAGGAAAGAAAATCAAATCGCTTAATGGTATAGCGTAATATTCTACCAGCAAGCAATATCACCAAAAACTTGCTGACTTGTGAACAGGAATCTTTATACGAAAATCCCACCTAAAAAAAACGTATCCGAATGACTATGGCAGCTCTTCATTCATTATCAATATAGGTTCAACACTGGATCCCTACGATGGAGTAACGTCCGGTCGAACTTAAAAACTCACTAGATACTCCTGAATATTTGTCCTAACAATGATGATAGCGCAAACTCGTTAACTTTTTTCTAGGCTTATCTCTAGGGTTGTCAAAAATCCAGCTTTACACGTCTGTGTCAAAATTTGAAGAAAAAATGAAGGTGATACTAAAATTAGCGCATATGCGCCTTGAATCATATACTAGTCAATAAGTTTTAAAAAGTCTTTGTAAACAAAATCGATGAAGTCCTATAGTCATATTTTTTTAGTTGTTTTCCTTCAAGAAGTCTTATTCTCTTAAAAATTGTGTAGACTCTCCAGTTTTGGCTGAGCATAGGAACTGAAAAAAACTGATTGGATGAATTTTATAAATTCGAGTTGGCAAACATATTCTGTCTATGTTTAACTTGTTATCTCTAAATAGTTTTTGTATACCTGAATGAAGAAATGAAAAATGAACTCACCATCATTCATCACTTATACGGTTCTTTGTAGGAAATTGATTTATCAAAGAACAAAAAATGGTCATTGTTTGATATCACACAAAAAAGTGATGAACCTTCAGAACCAAAAAGTGCGAAAATTGTACCAGAAGAGCCTCTTGCTGTTGGCTTACAAAATGTCTTGAACAGTCCTGATACATCACAAAGCATATCTCTGCAGAAAAACTCAATTTCAAAGGAAAGTCTTGACAAATTACAAATGGACTTGAAGAAAAAGGAAGGCAAAGTCTCAGCAAGATCTAAAGAAGTAGAAGACATTAAAGCACAATTAAAAGCGAAGGATGAAGAAAATGAAAAACTGGAAAAAGAGCTTGACACCGCTAAAGAAGAACAAAAGAAAGCTCAACAACAGAAAAAAACCTATACTGATCAAATTTCAAAGCTCGAGGAAGACATAAGTCAAATGAAAGAGAAACAAGATGAACTAAGGAGAACAAAACAAGAAACAGATCAAAAATTGAATGAGGAGCTTACAAAAGCTGAATTAAAACATAAGGAGGCTGAGAAAGATAAAAAGGACCAAGCCAAAAAAATAGCAGACCTCGCTAAAAAAATTAAAGATATAGAAGCAGCCAAAGAAGAATTAAGGAAAAAAGAAGAAGAAGAAAAGCAAAATCTCGAAAACAAGCTTAAAATTGTTCAAGAAGAGCAAAGACGGGCTGAACAAGAAAAACAACGACAACAAGTGCAAATTGCAGAACTCGAAAAATTGACCAAAGAATTAGAGACCCACAAAAGGAAGGGAGAACAAGAAAAAGCATACATAGAGAAGATCGAAAAAACTATTTTAGCTGACGCGTATAGTAAGATCGAAGCACAAATAGCAAGAGACTTTCTCGCACCAAAACAAGTCTTAATTCTTGATCACATGAAAAAAACAGGCCAAACAGTTGATAAGTATTTCAATGATAGAATACCAAAGATGTTGCTTGGAGAAGTAATGAATGGGTCATTTCAGTCATTTACTGTCACAATTATTGGTTTTCAAGATCATCATGATATCTTTAAAGCAATGCTCGCACGAATTCGAAAATTTATAAAATCAATACAAAAAACCAAAGATTTCTACAAACAACATCTAGAAAAAGTTACTGAACCTATCAAAAACGAAATAAAAAAAGTTAACTCACGAATGAAACATTGGAGTCTATATGTAGAATCTTTCGATCAGTTACTACGAGAAAAATCAAACGAATACATTGAATTATTTAATATCTATATTGAAGATAAAAAAAAATTATTAATCGACCAATGTATTTTGGGTGATTTAACAACAATAAAAGCTGAATTAGAAAAACAAACAGATAGTTTTATAAAAGATAAACCACTCATCACAGAAATTGAACCACTCAAATATCAAACACTTGAAAAATTTATTGAACAAAATATTACTCATCAACGAAATCATTATGAAAAAAAACCAAGCCCCAAAGCAGTCTCTGTTTTAGATACATTCATTAAACAATTGAAAGAGGATTTTAAGACAAATCAAAAATTTACTGGTCTTCGTGCGAAACATTTTGGTTTGATACCTGGCCCATTACAAAGATTAATCATATACTCTTGTTGTTTTTATACTCAATTACCTTTGTTTGAATCAGCATTAGATCTGTTGGATAAAGTTAATCAGAATACAGTTACCACAATTTCAACATCAACTGGATCAGGTAAAACAAAATAAAATCTTTTTATTACAACGCTTAATTTTGATTGTTTTCTATCTCTAGGAAAATCTACATTATTACCAGCTCTCCTTGCTGCAGAATGTTATGATAAAATTATTGTTACACAACCTCGACGTTTACCTTGTACATTAATTTGTCAACGGGTTAATGAAACAATGACATCAGTAAAAGATCCTTTTTCAGAGAAACTAGCCGGATGGGCTGTTAGTGGTGCTGAAAGAAATCCAAGAGCTAAAATTTTATATGTGACTAATGGCCTACTCAAAGAACGTTTACTTTATGATGAAAATTTCATTACACATAACACTCAATTAAACAAATCGATTATATTCTTCATCGACGAAGTTCACGAAAGATCCGTAAATATTGATCCTTGTTTAGCATTATTAGCACGAATGTTATCTATTAATCCGGCATTAAAATCAAAAATGAAAATAATTATTTCATCTGCTACACTTGATTCATCTGTACCTGATCTTTTTCGTAAAATAAAACAAGTCTCATTAACTGAATTTGTGATGCCACAGATGGGTACCATACATCCTATAACTAAATATTCTCGTAAAAATGAGAATATATTAAATATTGTACAAGAATTATATCAAAAACGTCGACGACATGATCAAATTTTATGTTTTGTTAGTTCTGTCAAAGATGTTAATGAATGTTGTTCATTATTGAAAACAATAACTGGTGGTGTTATTACTGCTTATCCTCTTATTCAATCACAACAAGCTTCTACACAAAAAGAATATATTGAAAATGGAAGTGTATTTTTTTCGACCACAGTTGCCGAAACGTCATTAACATTTCCTCAGTTAAGATATGTTATCGATACGGGTATGATTAATATACCTGTTTATGATCCAGAATCTAAACGAACTGTACTCCAAGAAGATCGAGCAGCAGAGTCCACAATAAAACAACGTCTTGGACGTTTGGGTCGAACACAACCTGGAGAATATTATTCGTTGTACGATTTTGAAGTAGAAGAAAAAAAATATCCAACACCACAAATATGTCAATCAGATTTGACTAATATTGAGTTTGCATTAAGAAAATCACCATTGAAACAAGGATTACACCATATGAAACAGTTCTTTCCAGATTCTCCACCAAATAAAACAATTGATCAAACTGTTAAAACATTACGACTACTAGGTATGAAATGTTTATAACCAATATCTATTTCGGTAATATAGATGTGATAAAATGGATGAGAAAAAAAAGATGAAGATCCTCATCCACATTCAATCCTAATATCTTGCTTTTCTCTTCCGCACCTATACTGATAGTAACCCTTATATTATTACATGCTATATTAGACATAAGCAAAATGCATGATGAGATGTGAAGATGAAACTAATTTAAACTTTTGAAAACAGTATATAGTATCTGAGGAATTGCCGAAACTTAAGTACAGATTTTGAATTCTATCATCATACATAGTTTAAATCATCTAGAAATCAAACTCAATATAGTTCACAACGGAAAATTCCTCAGTTTACGACAGATGAATATCGTGTGAAAATTTGTTGTGGATCATTTTTTAAACAGTGTTTCAAGAATTTCTTTCTATCATCTTCTAGTTTTTGAATCCAACAGAATTCTATACGATCAAAATGATGAGTATATTTTGTTGTTTTTCTAGGTGCTATAAGTAATGTTCATTAAATACTCAGCCTGTTCATCGTAGCTTGAGACACATAGAAGATGATCATTAATACAGATTATCTAATGTAGAAGGATACTAAAAGACTAACGAAACACAATCACGAGAAATATACTTTCTGTCATGAAAACAAGCAAGAAAAATAGAATCTCTTGATGTACAGTATATTGGATCCTTTTAAACTCTAAATATTTAATATGCAGTGAGTCAAAAAACGTGCCAATAATTCATTTCGCAACAAAAGATGTTTCGAAATACAATAATAGATTTTCGGTAGGAAAACACAAGCGAAACAGATTCGAAATTTTTACCGTATAGTTGTAAAATTTGAAACAAGTCTTAAAACTCTAGAAATTCTTTTTGTTTACAGTTTTCCATTCAAAAAATACATACTGATTTTGGTATTCGATCACTTTTACAAAGACACGAACATAACTGCAAAAGTTAGACAAAATAATTTGTTGCTAATGTGTGTTTTAAAAATTAAAATTGATAAAATTCATTTCAGTTACTATGTAAAGACTCTAACGTCCTACTGTTGGAAACTATATTCTAATGAGAGTTAAATGAATAGAAAGCGATACTATATGCTTATAATTGTAAGAGAATGATTAACTATCAGAAACTGTGAATTAATTCTTGTTAAGGCATTTTGAAAGCTGCTCCAAGTGAAGATTTCACAAAGCATGGTGAAGCTCTTGCTAAACTACCCGATTTTGGTTCATTAGCAATGTCGAAATGTATACTGTCTGCTCTTCAGAACAATTCTTGTGGACGAGACCTTATCTATCTATCGTCTATTTTAAGTGTTCTTAATACTAGTGCTTTATTGAAATCAATACCAGAACATCTGAAAAGTTCAGATGGTGATTTTATGACATTGTTTAATGTAATGCGAGCAATTTTACTTGTTAAACAATCAGTCCCAGACAATCAATTTAATTTACAATATGTATGCCAAGTAAAAGGTCTCAGTGCTATTCATCATATTCTTCGACAAGCATTGAGACGATATGTCAGTTTAGAAAGATCTTTTAATTCATTAGTTGAATATCGTGCACAATCACAAATTACATCTGGCAATTGGCCATCAATCGCTAAATCATTATTAGCTGGATATTACGAAAACGTTTTTGTTTCATTAAAAGAAATATATGGAAGAAATCACCATTATGTTCGATATGACTCAACTAATGAAAATATTGCTGTCTTAGATTCACAATCGACTCTTGCTCGACATAGAAGTATGTCGCCTGTTCCTCTAGTTTTGGCAAGAGATATTCGTTATGCATCGTCAATTCGTTCGAGAGCTGTTCTTTCATTTCTCGGTGAACTTCAACCGGGATGGATTGAATATCAGGTTCAACGAAATATTGTTTTAAATGAAAAGGAAGCAGCGTATCTTACAAATAAATATATATTACCAACAGCAAAAACCAACTTTCATTCAATTGATATTCAATTAATTTCGGATACACTATCAATAGAAGGTAAAGCTGGTACCTCTCTTAAAGCTGAGTTATGTATTCGACAGCAATTGACAGTTGAACAGCCTGAGTTTGAATTAGAAAATCGTTTTGATCCAGATACAGAAGAATATAAGAATTTATCACGAAATTTAGAAAGTGTAATGAAAATGCCACATATATTTAAACCAATGATTTGGCGCTGGGAAGCGGAAAGACAAGCTAAAATAACTGTTAATCCGAATACGTCAACAAAGAACATTACAGTAAAGATTATTGCTAGAGATTCGGATTATGAAAATATTAAAAAGGAATTCAAATCATTTGTGCGATGGTTAGGATATTGCGCTGTTATGCGACGTCCGAATTCAGGTAAGTAAAAACTCAATAAATTGATTTACCTCTAACACTTAAACGAAATACACAAAATGCATAATTTTCTTTTTTCAAACAATGATTTCAACGGATATCTGTTTTCAATGATGAAAAAAAGCGATAATAAATATTCAGATGTGTTCCGAATATTGCGCAGCGTCATCAATGTAACTTAGTTCTTTTATAACAAATTTCGTGAGTTTTGACTAATTCGTAAACAGAAGTACAAAAACTTTCAAGACTTTACATCGAACTGGTAACAAAATAGTAGTGTTACAAAATTTTAATCAGATCTTTTGCACCGTGTATGAATACAGAGGATGTTTGAATCCTTGTGAAAGTGTGATTCAAACTAATAGTTTGATCATTATTTTATTATATTTAGGCGTTCCTCCACGAGTTTTTCGTCCTCAAGTGCGTGCACAATATCATGATATTGAAGAACGAATTTCTCATATTACCGACACTAAACGAACACTTATAGACTTATACAAAAGTGTGAAAGGTCAAAATGCGACTCGTGAAACTCGAATGGAAGTTGTCGCTTGGATAGCTGTTTGTAAATTTTCTTGCAAAGTTGAAGGTGGTTTTGTACGTGATTGAGTTGTTGGTGCTTATACATCGAGACCAGCTGATCCTTCGCTAAAACCAAAAGACTGGATTGAAAGTATGAGTCCCGTACCATCGATTAACAAAGAAGTCGTTCCAACAGATATAGATTGCCATTTGTCAACGCATGCTGATTTTAATATTGAGAAATTTCAAGATGAATTATACAAATATCATATGACATGCCAAGTATTTCGAGAAGACTGGAGATATGTATTGTTAATTGATGAAGATGCTCCAACAGGTCCATTTACAGTAGATTTAATTGAACCACACGTAGCATTAACACATGATCGTATTGATTTCGATGTGAACAATTTATCATTAGAAAAAGGTTACACACATGAATTAGGAATGCGTGTTGATATTCAACAAAGACCATATTTAATCGAACTTGAAACAATTGTTGATAATATTAAAAATAAAAAACTTCAAGTTCTTCGTCCAGTTGATCCTACTCTTGAAATGCGTATTGATAAAATGATAAGCGTTCGTGGTTGGACACAATTAGGACAGTCATTCTTGGTTATACCAAATCCAGATTCAAAATATTGGTCTGTTCTAGTACATTTAGCATCATCCGACAGATTATATAAAGATGTAGAACAACAAATGAATAATATAGGATATCAAGTAAATATTATATCGATTGAACAGATAAAAAATCCACTTTTAGAAGATCAATATGAAGCATTAAAAAAAATTATTGCTAAACAATGTTCAGGATTTGATCCAAATGAGCGTGAACTTTTTCATGGCACAAGTGGAGAAGGAATTGATGGTATACGAGATAATGGTTTCGATGATCGTTATTTTAGTAAAGAGGGAAATTGAGGTAAGTGATTTGTGAGCATCATATACATTATAAAGTCACGAAATCATTTTCTTAATTTGTTTAAAAATATCCAGAGTAATGACAGCCTAATTTGTTACTTAGTGAGAGAGTCTCCTGATGTGTCAAGTAGTCTGTTTAACTAAGCCACCTTTAGATAATATGTCTCTGAAAGTATTTTTATATTAAATCAATTTCTTTAACAGAGCAATAAGGCAATGATAGAAAAATAAAAAATCTTTTAAAAAAATATTAGTAAATGTTTATCGCTGTTGATTACGAATATCTACAGCATATATGCTTTCAGAACAAGGAAGACCCTTGTTTAAGAGCATCGATTCGGTCAATATTATTGAGTTCATTGCAGTTTTCCGATGAAATAAATGATTAAAAATCGCATGTTAGCACATCTTGCAGTACGATTATATACCAAGATGATATTCCACAACGGGAAACAATGTTTTTTGATTCAGTACTTGATTTGATACAGAGACTCTTAAAATCAAAAGAAACAGAATTTAAACAGCTCCATGATTTTAAATACAATTTTTTATAACAAAATTTAACTTTTTTTCTCTGTATGAAGTGTCGAGAACATAGATAGAAATAGAAGAGTGAAATAAACCCCAGGAAAGTCATATCTATCAGTGTGTTCCATTGGATGTGCTAATTATTCGATAGAATCCATTTTTTTCTTTGGACATCCTTAGATGAACAAAACGATGCGATTGGAAAATTTCTATTCAAGCTTGTCATTCTGTAAAAGACCATTGTCTACTGAGTGTATTGGACGAACTCTCCAAGCTCTTATTAAAGCTTTAACAAACTGTTCCATAGTGAAATCTATACAAGACTAACTTCATACTCATATTGCAAAGGTGTCAGGCTTTTGTTACGTTATTGACGTTCATATTAACACTTTTTTTCTGTGTTTCAACATTTAGGTCATGGTGCATATTTTGCTGACGATCCTGCAAAGTCGCATCAGTATACAGCTACTGATCTAAACGATGATACACGTGTTATATATTACACTAAAGTTGTATTGGGCAATGTATCACATCAATCAGTACCGAGTACAGAATTGGTGTCGGCACCACTGCCGTATCATTCAGTTGTAGGAACATTAAATGGATTCACTGAATATATCGTTTATCGATATGGTCAAGCTTTGCCTTACTTAAAAATCACTTATACAGCTTAGATACAGACTTAAATCAATGTGACTACACGGAACAATGTTTCAAGAACAGTGTTTATTTCAGAATAATTTTAAACTAGAGAATGCTTTCTACATAATTGTCTTACTAGCCAAGTGTGTGTTTTTTGATAAAATTCAAATTCAATTTGTATGCTTATCATCGAATCTAAAACAAGGGTATTGAACATCATTAAGGACTGGAGAGTGGTGTGGACATGGGGTGTCGGTGTTGATCGATGTGGCTATGACCTTTTAGTAATGATTCGCACTGGAGATCTAAACATGTCAGACAGGCCATCTGGTTTGTCTCCTTTTTCTTCGAAATCAAAGTTTCGAGGTGTGGGTGTGAGTACAGAGAAGAATGACATCCACACCTCTAATGGATATAAGTGAATTAACAAGGAGAATAACGACAATAGAATGTGACCATTATTGTAAGACTTTCTGTGGTGCGAATGCTTATATGTATATTCACATTCACATCGATAGAAAGGAAGCCATCAGTAATTGGTTTCATTTTTAAACAACACACACAGACATGATTATCTTTGCGTAAAAAGTACTATACTTCTAAACTTTTAAATATAAGAGCATCGAGTATGTGTATGAGTACCAATCCCTCTCGAGTACCGACCCTTCGAGTATTTCGCCCAGCTCTAGTAATTAGTGACGTTAGGAACGACATGTGTGATGCCTTGAATAGCTTCTTCTAATGCTGTGATAGGTTGGTGTTGATAACCATAGATTGGACTTGAACCTTCATCGTCAGGGATAGCATTAGGTTCGTCCAAAAATTTGTTTACCATTATTGTTTCTTTCCGTATGACGAATAGATCTTAGATAATCTAGAGCGATGCACACAAGTTGTATGAAACTGGAGATTAAAAATTAGTATCAATACTTTCTTAAAAAACATAATATATTCGGTGTACAAACTATCGTCGTATGTATAGTAAAAAGCAATCAAATTCAAGGTAATTGAGGTAAAACAAAAAAATTGTTCAATATCTTCCTTTCATTTTGCTATAATTGGCAAACAATCAAGCACATGGATTTTTTCTTCTGTCGATTAACGTAAGTCACAATGCATTATGAATGATCCTCAAGAGTGAGAGTGAGAGTGAGAATGAAGAGAGATCTATCACCATTGCCCTCATTCTCATCATTAGCATACTTCAAGAATACATTCATAGGAAAAAAATTTGTTTGAAACAATTTTTCATCATCACACTAAATGCCTCGTACGAGCAATATATTTTAGTAGATCTCATTCTCGGTCTTTTGCCACTTTTGGAAATCTAATGCCAATTATTTATAGTATTTACTAGTCTCTCAATGAGCATTTTGGGGTATGAGAAAATTTTGAAAAGCATCATTCAAATTCATACCTGTGTATCCACCTGCGCGTTATAGACTAGACTTGCAGCAGAACCGTGAAAATAAGGAAAGATAAAGAAGGAAAACTATGGTCCTCCGCATCGATATGTGTTATGGCAGTAATCTAAAGAAAGATATTGTTTTCAAGATGGCAGATATATTTCGCAGGATGATCTCTGTCTCAATTGGAAAGCAAAAGAAAGAAAGACGCTTGGATGTACCGCTTTTAGTAATGGAAACAACAAAAAATAACGGATGCTGTTCGCACAATAATGTATCAGATAAATACGAGAATCTTCATCGAAGCAATCGAGAAAGAAGAAAGAAAATAGGCTTCATCATGCCAATAAATACAATAGTAATGGTAATCAAACGGAAGAGACAACAGTCTACCAATAATACCTAGAATATTTAGGAGAACCTTCATATCGGTAATGCAAAAGAGAAAAAAGACACGAATGTATGTATCATATTAGCAATCAAGTTTCGACAGGAATAGACGAAGAAAAGATACCGATGCCAGAGAATCTGGTTAAAGCACACTATTGTCATGATATTTATTCTTCCTTCCATTCAACAATTCTCTAATTGTAATAAAAACCGATTAACTCTAGGGGAAATTCAAACAATCGAGAAAAAGAAATAGTTAACGTTTCAATCTTGAGGTAAAACCGCAGCACAGAAATAAAACGAATAAAGAGAGGATGAAGGAAAGAAATGAAAACGAGAACAATGCAAAATAAGAAAACAAAGAAACCATAGAAACTGAGCTAATTTGATTTAAAAAGAAATAAAATAATCTTTCTACTATACAACAACAGATATAAATTCGATACATAACGAAGAAAGAGTATATATATGTGACGACAGCGATAAACTCATATGCTATAAAAAATGAACCATTAGAATAATAGGTACGATAAAGGAAGATATATATATGCTGAATGTTACACAGTAGACGCAGCTGAAATGTTATATCGAGCATTTGTCCTATCGAGAAATAAGAAGAAAACATAGAGACAAGAGAAAAGAGACATAATATACATAAGTAAATGAACGACTTGATATCACAGCATAAAACTGTTTATTTTAAGAGTAGCAAAAAGTTTTTGTAAGTGACAATACCAGTCAAGAAAGGCTATCGAAAATGACAGCGTTCACTTTTGCAAGCTATTTTCGATCTATCTCATATAGATGGAAGATAAAAACGAAAGAATGCATTATGCAGTCATCGTATAGTAAAAAAATAATTCGCTAGTTATAAACATCATATATGTGTATTATACGAAGAACGAAAAGCATTTAATGGTCGTGGTATATGTCCGATGTTGCGAAAACCGGAACAGTTTTAGCGGTTTACCGCCATTTACCGTTATTTTTGCTGGTGAAGAGAAAGTAATGAATAAATACAGAACGAAAAAAGAGTTACATATATATACATGTGTATGACGAGCTTTCGTTTATTTTACTCGTTCGCAGAATTAGATAAAATGGTGAAGTAATGAATACTGCGTGCAGTAAAACTAAACGCATTTTTTGCACACATCATTAATTACTTCCTGTTTTAAGCAGTATTTTTTAGTATTTTAATATTAAATTCTATTTTAGATAATTTTTTTTAATTTAAGCTATAGTTTCTTTTAGCTATTTTAGATTATGTTTTGAACGCTAGTTTTCGGATCCATTTTTTAGATTCGATATTTAAGTTTTTTTTAGTATATTTTAAATCTATTTTTTTACTCTTTAGTTTTTAAGCTTATATTTATTAACTTAAAAAAGACTTCTTTTTGAAATATTATTTTTGAATCTTTTTTGTTGTAATTTTATTGTAAATTATTCGTTTTTTCTACTAAATATGACTTTTTTAAATTCACTTACATAGTTTTCTTTCAAATAAACTTTTAACTCAAAAATAAATGTTTTATTCAAAGAAAAATATGGGCAAAACCTAGGTTGGAACAGTGCCGGTAAACTGCAGTTTACCAGAAGAAAAGCTAGTAATCTATAATGATTTACCGCGGTTAAGCGCCGGTTTTTTCCAGTTTCGACTACATGGGGTATTACTATGCAATAGTAACAATCTAATTACACAATGTCAGTTGACTCCATCATAAAATAGTCTATACAGAATTCATTTTTGCAAAAAAAAAACCAGTAAAAGTTATTTCTGTCATTTTCGATAGTCTTTCTTGAATGACATTGTCAACTACAAAAGTTTTCTCTGATGTTAAAAGAAAAAAGTTTTAACAGAAAAGAGTAAAATACTAAAATGAAAAATAAGAGGTGAAGATCAGATAAATAATGAAAACAATGAGGAAAGAGAGAAAACAAAAAACTACTAAGTCATGAGTTAACAATAAATGAAGTACTAATGGGGAGTTTAAGATAAACCATAGACAAATGTCTTGATTCATGGAAACATCGAAAAGGAAGGAGACTAATTAGGATCAAAACAAAGAGTAGAGATATAATATTGAAAGAATATCAAAGAAAAAACAAACAAACTGGCCTACATTCAATTCAATACAAATTAGTCTATTATAGAATGATAAAACAGAAGTAAATGTTTTTTTTTTACTATATATCGTAGTCTTTTTCTCACATTGTACGATATTACATAGATTTAAGTGATTACTAACGATTTTTTTAACTTACTGTTCAATGGAACGTCGTAAAACTGATAGTTTATTGTGTTGTGTTCTACGTCGAATATGGATCAATAATACCAGAATAATTATGGTAGCTTATATACACAATGTCATCCTTTTACAGAGTAGGTTTTTTCTTTGGTTGTGCTTCTCTCCCAGCATGAGTCCTTTTTATTTCAAATGATATTCTTGGACTACATCACATTAGTCTCTATGATCACATATCGATAAATCATCAAATCAATACTGATTATGCACTATCTGATTTTATGAAGAGTTAGACGATAAAATACCATAGAAATGTTTAAAAATAAAAGCTGTTACAAATTTCCTCTTTACTTTTTCAGTAATATGAGTTCCATGCAGTTGAGGGCGCTACATTACAGTTTTGGCTTAGCATAAAACCCATTAGAAATATACACAATGTTAGATGTTGAAAAAATGAGATTCATGATTTTCGTTCAGAACTCTGAAGTTTTAGTTCATCAGAAGAAGCTAATAGTATAAATAGTTAATATTAATATTTTTCTTTATTTATTATAAAAATTAGCTCTTAAAAGTGAGTTTCACTTAAGTGCATTTATGAATATTGGGTTTATTTTCGATTGGCTTTTCTCGCTATACTTTTTATCGCCAGATCCTGTACAACAAATTTTCTTTTCTATTTTATATTACCTTTTCTTTCTCCGTTGATCCTTCTTTGGTCTCTAGATTTATGTACGCATACTCAGAAGACTCTTTTTTTTCTTTTCTCTCCTAATAAACATTTTATAAAGCAATATAATTTCAAAAAGAAAAGGAAATCAATGACAGTTTCTTTAGTTTTTTCTCACTCTCGAGACCCACGCCCAAATTCTATTAGTAAAAGTGGAAGATTTGTAATACCCATCTAAGGTTTACGGTTTGTACTTCAATGTTCGATCGGTAACATCAAAATTTAGGTCATATCATGCTTTCTTCATCCTTGTTATAGTGTTC